CACACCACTGAGAACGGACTTACAATACTGTGAGCAGGTTTTGCTTTTCGAACATTTTTACTCTGAATTTTCTGGGTTATAGTTTTAATATTTTTCATTAATACACAATAAAATTGCCACTTTTCTTTAGTATTAAAGAATGAAATTAAAATATGTGAAAGCACAGGGATTTGTCAATCCAACGCGTCCAGAAATTCGAAGATTTAATAACTGCGAGATGAAATAAGTTTTTTTATTATATTTTAGTATGAAATGCTATAGCAACATAAAAGTCATGAAATTATACAGAAAATTTGAAAAAATAACTTCAAATCTGTGTCCAAGCACCTTAAGAGATGTTACTTGTTCTCCTTATCCTTGAAGCGCTGGTGTTCGGAGCGTGGCGCCGACTACATTTCACATTAATAACGTAACAACAAATTACAAACGTCCCTGACATCTTTCTTAGTTTCTAATCTTTGTATCTTTTTATAAAATTGGTTATTAGTTTTGTTTGGGTTTTTTTTTTTTTTTTTTTTGTTGTTTTTTTTTTTTTGGCAGTCCATTTGATATCGGATCGTAGATTGACCTGAACCTCTTGCTCAAAATAAAATGTAAACACATGATATTGGCTAGTAAACGTTGTTATTCATTTAACGATTGGTCAATTTTGTAATAATTGATTTTGTCTTTCGCACGCCCATTACTTTATTTTTTTTATTTTGTATTATTTCAAATATTTTGATATATGTGAAAATTACGTAAGGATAATTAATTATATTTGTCAACCAAATAAGCACCACAATGCGGAAGCCTTATTCAAAGGATCAATTATCAGATGCTTAGCTACTTAATAGATTAACCATTCCAATTCTAGACTTTGGGAACATCAATGGATTGATACCTAATGAAGCTTGAATTGCTTGCTCTGACTTACGCGCTGGGGATACCCATCTCTAAGTGTGTAAGGAAAATAATCTGAAAACATACGTCATTTAAGGAATTTTTAAAAGTCAACTTAAAACAAATATACTGATGGGAATCTAATTAACTTGTTATCAAACACCACAATACAATCATTTATTTGAGATAATACACAAGATTGCTTAAAAAACTGTTGCATGATCATAAGAAAAAAATAAATGGATGAAAACAATTTTTACTAATTACTGAATTTTGGAATTACATGTCATTGATTGTTTATTTTTACATTGTGTGTTTATATGATTGATAATTTTGATTCAAGAAGAAAATGCGCCGTTCTTTATCAACTTTCTAGTAAATTGATACAATAGTAATTCACTACTAGCTTTATTGTAAAAGACAGAGGACAGGTAAAAAATTTTCCTAATTAGTTTGACATTTGGTCATTGAATATAATTTTACAAAAAGTCATGAATTTTTATGATTTACATTAACATTCGTTTCAACATTGTCATCAAATGTCAACATATGTGCATGGTGATTACACTTTCATACAAATTTATCATGTACATGTACCTATCTCTGAAGCAAATGAAGTTTTCTTTTTTTCTGATGAAAGAAAGATAACTTAAAACAGCCATGTTGTTGGCACAGGAGGACAAAGTATTGCCAGATCAGTAAACATTTCAAGTGAGAAAATATTGCAACTCTTACCAAAGGATACTCATGTTTAGCAAAACTTACCGTTCTGTTTTTTGTTTGTCAAGATATTTAAATGCTGTTTGAATACTCTGATTTTGAAATTCTTGAGATGTGTGCCCTGAAGTTTACAATGTCTCTTCTTGTTTTTTGGTAATATTATCAACTCAGGATATTTGTCTTAATTAATGATAGCTTAAAGCAATAATTTATGAAAAAGGTGAAGATAACGAACAGTGATAGATCTAAAAAAAAATCTATAATGCAAAATGTGAACGCAGAAAACGGACCAGTGATCGATCTCAAAACAATCTCTTAATAATACACATCTGTGAACAGGGCATAAAACACTGACCCCTGGAAATTCCCGAGGTGGGATCAGGTGCCTAGGAGGAGTAAACATCCCCTTTTGACTGGTCACACCCGTCTTGAGCCAAATGTATTGATGAGGTAGACGGATCATTCCGTAGTCGAATTCAGTATAAAATCAAAGGCCTAACAATTGGTATGAAACACAAGCAAAAATACGACCAAATGATAGGTTACATATAGTAACAAGGTCTTTATAACGACCATAGAATTTATGAAATGCTGGCTTTAAACGAGGTTGTTGAAATCACTGTAACAACTTATCTGTCAGTAATCTGCCTCGGTTTAAAAATTGATCGTACTCGGAGCATGCTCTTGGGTATCGAATAAGTTGGGAGATGTAAACCCCATATGCAGGCGATGGCGGGATATTATATTATTTGATAAATAAGGAAAATTGACGATTGAAAAGTTGGAGTCATCTAGTTTGTCATACAATTTAGTTTTTAGGTGACCCTTATCGACTATAGTCAGTAAAACATCAAAACATGAAACAGATGTGACCCTGTGGTGTCTTTTATTTAGAGCTCACTGGGATTTATCAAGTCGACACATGAATGGATGTAACAATTGTAAATTGATAATACGTCGTCGATATATCTAAACGTCGAATTAAAGGCCACGGCAAGTGTTTTCTTCTCACGTAGAAGTTTCTGAATAATTTTTGTTTCAAAAGAATATAAAAACAGCTCGGCTAATAAAGGAGCACAATTAGTGCCTGTCGGACTCTCCAACAGTTTGTTGGAAGAACTGGTCTCCGAGGAATACAAAAATGCTATCAATGAGGAGCTCTAGCATCCTTTTAATATGAACTTCAGAGTACATGTACTTGTGTGTAGAATCAAAGTGATCTCTACCAAAGTTTTTTTGGTTAATGTCCAATCACAAGATACGAAAATTTCCGACTTCCATTTTTATTGAAGAAGCAGTTGTCTATGATATCAGTCGCCCGCGTGGCTCAGTGGTTAGAGCGTCTGCTCTAGAGTCGCGGAGTAAGGAGTTGATCCTTACGTCGCGGGTTCGATTCCCACTCTGGGACGAGGAGACCAGTCCTTCGAATGAGATCGTATAAACCAAGGTCCTGTGTCGTAGTAGGTGTTTGCACGAAAAAGATCCCTCACTGCCCCATGGCCCTGAGTGCCGAGTATAAGTCAAAATTTGCAGCTCTCCACCGGCAAGTGGTGGCGTCTCCATATGAGTGAAAAATTCTCGAGAGGGACGTTAAACAACAAGCAAACAAACAAAAGGCCTAGTTCTTAATTTATCATGAGGAATGGTTATATAAAGTGTAGAAAAGTATGTTTTGATGTTACTGACTTTTGAAAAAAAAAAATTGGCGATTTAAAATTTTCAAAAATTTCTTTGGAGTTTTGAGAATCCACACATCTGATTTACACCACTTCAAGAATATGCTGTTGTAGCTTAGTACGTCTGAAGTTACTCCTTTACAGCGGTTTCTATTCTTGTAAAGAGTAAAGATAGGGGCTTGGTAGAGCATTTGCTAAATCTGGCAATGTATCTCTGTTTATAATGATTTATATGAAGTTTAGAAATGCAGTATAGGTAGGGTAGTTTGAAGTTACATTGGTTTATTGGAATGTTTAAACTATTAAACACTGAAATGTGATTTTGAAGAATTTCATCTTTAGAAAGTGAACTGACTGCGAGCACAAGTTAGAATTAAAACCAAGTTCTTTTAAAATACAGTTATAATAATAAGCCTTATAAACAAAATCGATATTGTAACAAGCCTTGTTGACTGGAAGCAGAGCAAATTGTTCATAGAGTCTTTCTAATTCTTCTATGACCTCCGGTCTAGTGAAAACAGAAGGATAGATGGTTCTTATATTGCCATTAAATTTCTTTTACTATTCTTTCTTTAACATATTTCTAAAACACTTAATCCATTCTAACAAAGAGGACAAATCTTCCTTTTCATATTTTCTTTATCAAATGTCAGGAACTGTGCAATTCCATTCATTTCTTTTTTCATAGACATACGAGGATTGTCCATAAAGTTCGTGGACAAGTTATATACTTTTCTTAATAATGACCGCAATGGCAAATGTGTATTTTAATAAAGACCATGGTTTAATAAAAATATATTAATTAAAACAATAGGCACTATTTTGCGAACGTTAAAGGTTTATGAATACTTTGTTTATACAGGCTGCACGACCCAGTCTGACGTAAAGCTTATTTCCTGATAACGGTATAAACGTGTATTTACTACTTATAGTATTTCATTTAAAAGATAACGTCACATCTGAAATTAATATGAAAACAATTTTTAACTAACTGTAAGCACTAATCTTTATTTCCTATGTATACTACTTTGATTGTGTTCAGTCTGATATTTTACAGTAATTAGGAGCAGACGAAAAGGCCAAACTATATTCCATTATATTCCATGTTCCATGTTCTATATTCCATGTTAAACGGATGATATATTATTTTGAAGGAAAGCTTCCATGTGGCAATGGACACATGGGGATAGTTTCTAATCCTGGTTATTTTATCAGTGCCAGCGAATAACAGAAGTATCGACCAAAAATATGAAAAGATTTGACATCATCGCATTTGGAAGGAAAGCTGGCAAATGACAAATAGTTCTAATAACCATGGTTATTTTATCAGTGCTGGCGAATATAAAGTTACAAACGACGCTTTCGAATTGTTTCTAAGAAGGAACACCGTAGCCCGAACATCCCTGTGGAGATTATATACAGACCAAAAGACTTCAAAATATTTAATTCTGTTCAGAAAATTGAAAATTTTTCGTTCACAGCTGCTTGATTTTTCTTCGTTGCAAAACAACATTTTTGGCTTTTCATGTTTCATTATTGCTTGTACTCGTATCTTAATGCTTACCATTGTTACATGTATTAAGTTGAACTACATTGGACCTGTAGTGCATTGATTTAAGTTTTTTTTTTCAGGCATAGTTGTAACCAAAAAAGAGTTAAGAATACATGTATATTGCTTTTACGTTCTCTGTTTTTTTCTTGGCATTAATGAACTGCAGATCATAAAATTAATAATTTAATCAAAATCATGAAGCATACATGTATTATTCAGTTTAATGTGTCTGTCAATCCAGTATTGGTCAGATCAATTTCAGCTGTTATGTTCAGATAACAGAAGATGCAATTTGGAAGCCAAGTCTCAAATATCAAAATTTATTCCAGATAGCTATCCATTTTCGGTACATTTACTTGAAATTTCCAACATATCAAGAAGTAGGTGACACAAAAACTATGAATACACAGACCTCGCCACAGTTGATTTTGTAAGCTTAAATCTCATTGGTCTATATTTGACACATTGTGTTGCTGGTCTACGTCTGGATTTTTCATTCACAAACTGCTGAAGAACTATATCTTTATAGGATTCCCAGTTAATACGAGTCATTAAATTTTGTTGTAATTCCTCATCTGTTGGATACGGGGAAACCTACATGTCAGAAAATAAATAGTTATTTACATATTCATATATTAATCATTTACATACATAAAGTATGATGCAGGAGGAGTTTGCAAAAAAATCAAATAAAATATACCTCACTGCGTAGCCTCTCTCTGGCATTGAAATCGAGCTTAGAAAGGAACAATGTACGACTGATTTGGACAACCTCAGCCCCGTTACTGATAACCACAAAGCTTGGCTGTGGCTGTTTGTCCCTTTCAAATGTCACATACTGGAGACCCTATTTAATGAACATTTTGCCATACTTTACATAATTATTAACATTTTATACTTGGGTAGAGAGTAAGGACAAAACATATACAAACTAGATGCCAATTTTTTTTTTTAACTTTGACAAGGATATGAAGAATTTTCCAGCCAACAACATGATGGAGTGCATGTAATATTCATATCAATTGTATTAACAGAATTAAGATTTTACACAATCTTACGAGCAAAGATTCAAGATAAAACATACAAATATTTGATCTTTTGTGAGAGTTTGCACATGGACCCACTCCGGCTCCTTGTCTGTCTCTGGTAATGGCACAAAGTGTTCCTGGAAGGGTACAATTTAGATGGATTTTCATGACTGTTTGTGATCCTTACGTAACACACATTTCAGAAGTTAAACTTTTTTAAGAAAGATAGTCACTCCAATTTGCAAATCTTTACATGTAATATACTGTCAATCTATAGTATGTTAAAGGTTCTGTATAAAAATATAGCATCATTTTGAAAAATTCACATGTGAAGAAAGTACATATTAATTTTATAATCTCTCATTTAAAAACTATAACACTATTCACATCATCAACACCCATCACCAAATTTGCATTGTGCTACAAGTATGAATAATAGTCAAAAAAGCTCACAAAACAGTAATCATTGTAGATCAAGACAATGTATTTTTTTTCTTTGTAATTACATATTTTGCATCTGATAGTTTATGATTAAATTCCATACAATTACATTGTTATTTAAAATCAAGAACAAAAATTACACTCATTTGGCCGATTTTAGATTAAGGATAGTTTTTGCAATTATCATATTTATTGTCATCATAATGGAAATTCAATCTGTCATTAAACTTGCTGCAGTTGAATAATGAGGTATGAAAAACAAAATCATACCCCCCCCCCCTTTCTTGCTGCTCATTTTACAAAGCTTGCAATGCACACACATAGCAGCAAGACTAAAAAGATAGAACACTAAAGCTTGATTACTTCTATCAATGGGTTAATTTTTACTCTGCGAATCCTCTCATCTTCTGGCTAATTTAAGGAAATCAAAAGTTCAAATTACTATACAATACTTTTCCTTTTGATAAGAAGAAAAAGAACCAAAAGTGACTGACAGAAACATTTATTTTGTAGGTGTGGTCTTACCGTTTTAGCACCTGTATCAAGATCTGTAAAAAGTGTCTTTAACCCTATTCTTTTCTTTCCATCCGGTGCAACTGCAAATGAAGGCATTCCATTACTGGATTGTGATCAAAGTGTTTCTCCTTAGTCCTAAGTCAATATCAATTTATTTTCTTACTTTATAATGCTATGAATGGTAATTGTATATAATTTCTGTACATGAAAAACTTACTTTCTCCCTCTGTGATACTAGAGAGGGCAGGAGATTCACATCCACCTTTGTTGGAGCTAGGGGTCTGACTCTGTGAAGAACATGATTCCAAATATGTTTTTTTTTATTTTACTTTATTTTTCATTGAAGTAATTCAAATTAACTTTTCTTTCTAATAAACAAAACATTAAAATACTGAATTTCCCATATGTATAACACAAATAGTAACCTTTTGACTTCTTGCTGCGGGACTATCACTGACTGCCGACCTTGGTGATTGGTCGGTTTCTCTTTCACTTCCGGGAGTGATAATCATTCTTCCTGTTGTATGTGGCCGTAAAACTGTATTTAGTCTGTCTGTCAGCGCCTGGGACTTTTTATACCTCGGAGTCCCTTGACTAGAATAAGGACCATCAAATTCATCCCCAGAGCCATCCTCCATTTGAAGTGGAGGCGGGAGATCGATGTCATGGTAACTTATATAACGATCAAAATCCTGGTGTTGACTAAGAAACGAAAAATACCCACTGGGATGAGCATCCAATCTGTACTCTCCTGAACGTTTATTCACTGTTGGTTTTACTTTGTCCAGTCTTTTTAAAACCCTTAAAGATCCCTGAAAACATGAGTAAATCGATATACAGCACTAACATGTAATATGCTTAAATTCAGGATTTTCATTCCAAATATTCAACACATCTTTTAGCCTATTTCTTACCTCTTTCACAATGTAAATCCAGTCGGATTTATTGCTATCTCTTGTTAGTATTACATTTCGTCTATAATGAATATGAAAAGTTCGTAGAGACTTCATAAAATATTAACGCCATGAATGAGACGTGATAAATTTGTAAATAACTGTTAGATATAATGAATTATTAATCAATACTTACTGAAAATAAGTCACAAAATATTTTCCTGGTTCTTCTTTTAAAGATTTAAGAGGCCAGTTTCTCAGGAAACTGAACTTCCTACAAAGGGCATTTGACAGAAGATGAATATTGAAATGAATTTCGATAATTTTAAACATGCAACACATGCAAAATGAGATAGAAAAATAACTTCAAGAGAGATTAATATCTTTATTTAAGAAGACAGTGATACATCTACATGTATGCTACATGTAAGAGTTATCTCTCTTGGCAGATGCCATTTTAGAATTATCTCTCTTGGCAGATGCCATTTTAGAGTTACATGTACCTTTCTTAGCAAATGTCATTTAAGATTTATTTCTCTTAGTAAAAGTCATCTCTCCCCTTGAAAAAATGGGAATTGTTTAAGACAGTACACAGGTAATTTGACAGCCAAACTCACCTGAGATAAGGGTCACTCTCGGGGTCAATTTGCACTCCACCCATAAAAATCTTCTTGTAATCCTAAACACATAATCATTGCATCTTGTAGGAATTTTTTTATAAGCTTCAATGTACATGAGTTTCAGTTTCTTATAAAGTTGACAAGAGTTAAAGACAAAAATAACTTGTCAAAATAATTCTGTTACCTCCGCTGGTATCCTCAAGACTTCTGTGTATTCATTTGTAATATTTGATCCTCCCCTTGGTTTGTTTTTGAAAACTCCTATTTCCTTAAGATACAAAAATATTGCTTCTATGTTGTGACAATTTTTACTTAACTTCTGATAATACTTATTATAGGAAAAATTTCCTTATACATATTACATTTTCTCTTTCAAAAAGAAACAAAATGGTTCGAATCGCATAGAAAATGCTTGGTGGACCGCTGGCCTCATAAATTGTTTTTACCGTCTTGTTTCAGTATTTAATACACAAACGCAGACAATAGAATTTTGCAAGTCTCATAATTTATTGCATGTAGATAAAGTAGCTATTGCAACTTTAACTAGGTCAGTGGTATATCTGCTAGTGCAAAAGTATGGTCCATGTATCGAGTAATTTTATAGCATTTTTTATAACATTTCGCAAATGTTTGAGTCTAATGGATATTCATTTCACGACAGACAAATATTTAAACCAATTATACGGAGGGAAAAGTTTGAAGGTCTACTTCTTTCAACAAACACTGCATTGTGTTGTATTGTGTTCAAACTTACAAAAAAATTTTACAGTGTTCATTTCGTGGTGCAAAACACAAATTTATCAACATTCTCAATAATTTGCTAATTCAAACATTAAGGTTGTAGTGTATGAGATAAGCCTCGCTCAAGTTCAGTGACTGACAACAATAAACTAAATTTTCCTCCACAAAGCGAATCTTTTCAATTCCGATCCGTTGATCTTGGCCCTTTTTATTTGACCTTGAATTAATGTGTTGTTATAGTATAATTGGATCACGAACAACAATATCCTAGTCTAAGAATAAAACTAATTCCAATCAAAAGTTCCAAAGTTTTGGCCTGGCCAAATTTGTGAAAGACAGCAAACAGGCATTAGAACAACATCACAGTCCTAAAACCAATATGTTTCCAGCTGGGGGAAGGAGAAAGAAGGAGATGGAAAAGGGAAAAGAGATTTTAAAAAATCTTAAGGTAAAGAAAGAGCAAAAGAGGTAGGAGAAGAAAAAACTACACTCCACCCCAGTTCACCATCATAAGTAAAATACTAAACATAAACTATCTGACAGTGCATCATCACTCCTGGCCTCTTTTAGCACTGACAAGCAATTTAAATGTAGAATCATTTTTTGTGCGAGCGCATGCGCACTGAGTGCTGAATTTCAAATATTACCTTAGTTTCATTAATAGGATGTGACATTGTACCAAACTATTTAATTGTACAGAATGGTGATTTTGTCAATTTCTGATTAAATATGAATTCATTAATTACATTATACAGAATGAGAACAACAGAAATAAAAAGTATTCAATGCAAGCTTTAAGGGAAAGTAACAGATACACTTACCCCAAAGGGTTGCCCTCGTTTTATTAATACGTCTATAGATGTTGCCGATAGTTTGTGATCATCCAGAATAGCAGTTACAACTACAATAAGTAACAATGTTATCTTATACAACATTATAAAATAAATTCAGCAAACACATATCAGTCTTTCACAGTACTTCAAGATTTTCTTTGGGAAGGTCAGGTACATATTTCATAAAAACATGCAATATCCTCCTTCCTTTTACAAACAACCTGAAATATCTTTATAAATTCTGAAGTCAAATACAAGTATGCATTTTCACTAACTTGAGCCATACAGAACAATATATGCGTTTTCTGGAGCTCCCCCTTCCTTCACAATGAAGCGTTTGGCATCGTAGCATTCCACAAATCCTACACGCGCCAAGGCCTCTTGGATCCTCAGGGGAAATTCCGCAATATATTTCACATTCCGGAGGGCATTGGTTGCCTGCATTATTAAAAAAAGGTTTTTTTTTCACAAAATTTTCTTTGTATGCAAGAATAACAAACTATTTTCCGGAAAGTGACAATTAATATTTGCAACATTCAATTACCCATCCCAGTATGTAAAAATGATTGACAAAGTTGCTTGTCTTATAGCTCATCATTTCAAATTTAAACAACCGTGGTATTTTATGACAACTCTTAAGAAATTCATTCCTGTTTAAAGATTTAGTTTACACCTCGGGGGCTTCCTTGAAATTGTATCTAGTTTTTTTTTTCTATTTGGAACAAAGAAGATTTCATTGAGGCAATTCGTGAGCTTGGTCGAGGTTTGCAGACTGAAACTAAAGAAGATGGGTGAACAAGGCGTGCAGAATGCCTATAGCTTCAGATATTAAAAAAATCAAATACAATTTGTGAATAAGTATTTAAAGTAAAGTTCTCATTATTGAAATTTATGAAATTAAGTTCAACAAAACTTTTCTGAGAAAAAAAGATCTCGGAAAGAATTATTCTTTTATTAAAAAATAAATTGATATTCGTGGGATTCGAACCCTAGCAATAAAAATCCGTATTATGTATTATATTGCTTTGAGACTAACACGCTAACCACTACGCTACACAGCTCATGATGAATAGTGGCATTTAAATCTTGTTTGTGATATGAACCTTGACTTAATGGACTTCAAGTATTTCTCGGAAAGATGCGAATGATTTGTCATAAAAGTGTACTTTTAAGGTATAGTGGGTCTTTGCTCCATGTTTTTGTAAAATAAAAAATGTATATTTTAATGCAAACTTTTAGGACTAATTTTCAAAAAAATGGAGCGAAGACCCACTCATATCGAAAAATTTTGTTAAAGTATGAGAAAATGGTCCTTTTTGTCCTCTTTAGTGTGTGTATGCTCTTTCAAAGGCAAATAATTTCAGTCTTTGTAAGATTTTTGTAAATTGGAGGGATTTTTCATAAAATATACTTTAATATTAGATGAAATATCAAAGAAAATTTTAATATAATCGAGATTTTATTTTTCACTTCATGTTTGTCGCTCTATAGGCACTTCGCCCGTCTTGTTCACCCATCTTCTTTTCGCAAAAATCTTCAGGTAAATAAAAAATATAAATGTAGAGTGTCTTTTCACTCTTAAGCAATTGAGAACTTTTAAAGAGATTGTTTCCTTTCAATTTAGTCGTCATAGAGCACGTTTTCATGTTTAACTTACATATCGTATGTCATCCCTGGTCCTCTGGTCCGGGGGTTTAGACAGAATCTGTAAACCTCGCTGGGACATTCGCATCTGGAAAAAAAATCAAACATGATATTTATTTTAAAATTTTTAAAAATTAAGATGACAATATAAATAGTAATCTTTGAAAGATTTGAGCTATTAAATATACTAATATACATATGTAAATGTAATTCACAGATATTTCTGCTATTTTACTATGTGCACATAATCACTGTATAAATTTAATACTTAGTCTGGCAATTACTAGTATTGAAAATCCTTATTTGCAATAAGAAAATGATGACAAAGTTCTTATTTATAACGTAATAATGCACCTGACGATTAGCTTTGAAATAGGACACGTCAATCCTATTGGCTCCATATGTATTTTTCTCGTTGACTGGGGAACTGCCGATTTCCTTTAACTGTGACTGATATACAGTGTCGTTGGCACTATTACAGTAACGAAATAAAAAGTGTACCGTTAAGGACAGAGGATACAAAAAAATGATGCCTGGTTTGGTTTATATTTATGGATCTATTTTGATTGTAAATGATACAAATAATAAATTTCGAAAATATTAATAAATTGTGTCTACCTTCCTGCAACCATCGCTATTAATATATACAACTTTTTGTCACTTTAAATCCCATTACAGTGAAACTTTCAATGAAAAATTAAAAACTACAGTGATAAACTTGCTTATTTTACTTATATAAACATGATTTAAGTTGTTATTTTCAATTTTTTTAAAATAAAAGTTTGTTTGTATCATTGTTTGTATCATCTGTCCTTGAATAATCAATAGTTGCATATATCTTGGATTCAAAAGAGAAAAATCCATCTGATAACTTCAATATCAAATTTGCTTCAAACATTTGCGAAGTGAATATAAGTAATGGCAAAGTTTCGATGAAATTTTAGTTACTTGTTACTTCAAACAAAATGATATCAGAGTGCTAAAACATTTACACAAACATAAATAAATGCACCATAATAAAGTGAACATATTACATTTGGTGGCTTGTTCTATTTAGCGCTTTTGCAAATTGTTGGAAAGCGGCTTCCGCTAAATCAAGTACATAGCTTATTGTCGTGTCAAATCACCTATTACACAAATAATAAAGATAAACATTCAGAAAAATCAAATATACTCTAACTTAGTAAAAAGAAATAAATTTCCGCAAAATATTGTACACGCTAAATATAATACATTTACAGTATTTTAAACATACTTCCGTTGCAATATAAGCCTCTGTAAAGCACAGATACGTCCCACTGCTCTACTGACAGTCTGTAATTTCCGCAACATTTTCTGCAAATAAATAAAGGCTTACAATTCGAAATTCAGATTAAACTGGCAAAGAAAAGCATGAATATGGAACCTTATTTTTGATCTTGTTTGTTTTAGCTCACCTGAACCAAATGCTCAAGAGAGCATTTCTGAGCAGAATTTGTCCGCTGTCAGTCATCGTCGTATTGTTGTCGTATTAAACTTTTAAAAATTTTGACTTCTCAAGAACCACTGAGGCCAATTGCAACCAGACTTGTCAAAAGGTATCTTTGGGTTAAGGGAATTCATTTTTTTTTTTTTTCAAATGCAGGGTCACATTTCTTTTCATGGTAAAAATAATGAATTAGTGAAAATTTGATGGCATCTTTCAAAAATCTTCTTCTCAAGTACCGCAAGACCAGAAAAAAAAATAAAATTTATGCAAAAGTTTCATTATATAGCAGGGCTCTAATTGGCGACTAATTTAGTCGCCATGGCGCCTAAAATTTTTGAATGGCGCTTAAAATTTTTCCATAAGTCGCCAAATTGGCGACCATTTTAAATTGACTTGGCGATCGTCGAATTAACAATTTTTCTGAAAAAGCGAAAAGAAATTTAAAAGAAGAGGAAATTATTTTTAGCAATGGACATGTCGTGTTTTCTTATGCATGCCATGGGTCCCTATCTTCTAGTAACTTTTAAAGTTGGCGCCTTAGAAAAATGGCCTGGCGACTAAAAATTTGCATTGGCGACTAATTTTTTTTGGCGCCAGTTGGCGCCTAAATTTTAGAGGCCACTTAGAGGCCTGCATAGTGTAGATTCAAATGTTCTAATCATGACCACCCGCGAAGGGTGGGGCAACTATGGGCGATCAAAGTTTTACACAGGAATATTTAGGAAATTATCTTTAAAATTTTCTTCTCAAATAGCAAAAAACCAGAAAAAAATAAAATTTAAGTGAAAGTTTCATTACATAGTGTAGATTCAAATTTATTCTAATCATGACCCCGGGAAAGGGTGTAGAAGCATTGGGCGATCAAAGTTTTACTTAGGAATATTTAGGAAAATATCTTTTGAAATTTTCTTCTCGAGAACAGCAAAGTCAGGATTAGTCATATATATGTATGTATATATATATATATATATATATATATATATATATATATATATATATATATATATATATATATGAAAGCATCTTCAGGTGGTGTTGATTCAAGTTTGTTCAAATCAGGACCCCCAGGGGTATGATGGGGCCACAATAAGCGATCAAAATTTTACATAAGAATAGAAAGGAACAAGATGTGTTTGTGAAACACTGATGCCCCCGTATGGCAGCTTATGGCGAAGGTTCCCAAATGCAAGTCAAAATCCAGGCCAAAAGATAAAAAATGTTGATACCCAAAGAAAGGTCTTGTCTCGAGGAATACACCTGTGAAATTTGAAAGACCTAGATACAACTGTTCAAAAGTTATGGCAAAGGTTAAAAATTTTTAAATAAAAGTCAAACGTCAAGGTCAAGGTGAAAGTGGTTGGTATCCAAAGGAAGATCTTGTCACAAGGATTACATATGTGAAGTATGAAAGCCCTAGCATCAACCATTCAAAAGTTATGGCCAAGGTTTAAGTTTTTCAAAAGTAGGTCAATCTCCTAGGTCAAGGTCAAAGTGGTTGGTATCCAAAGGAAGGTCTTGTCACAAGGATTACTTATGTGAAGTATGAAAGCCCTAGCATCGACCATTTAAAAGTTATGGCCAAGGTTAAAGTTTTTTTCAAAAGTAGGTCAAACTCCTAGTTCAAGGTCAAACGGTCAAAGTGGTTGGTATCCAAAGGAAGGTCTTGTCACAAGGATTACATATGTGAAGTATGAAAGCCCTAGCATCAACCATTCAAAAGTTATGTCCAAGGTTTAAGTTTTTCAAAAGTAGGTCAAACTCCTAGGTCAAGGTCAAAAGGTCAAAGTTGTTGGTATCCAAAGGAAAGCCTTGTCACAAGAAATACACATGTGAAGTTTGAAACCCCAAGCAACAACTGTTCAGAAGTTATGGCCAAGGTTAAAGTCTCATAAAATTTTGCAAAAGTGGGTCAAACTCCATGGTCAAGGTCAAATATGATGGTACCCAAAGAAAGGTCTTGTCACAAGAAATACACATGTGAAATATGAAAGTCATAGCTCCAACCAATCAAAAGTTATGGGCAAGGTTAAAGTTGACAACAGACAGACAGACAAACAGATAAACAGACAAACAGACAGACAGGACAAAAACAATATACCCCCGGGATCTTTCGATCCGGGGGCATAAAAATCTTTTAAAAATCTGAAGAACAGTAAACCCATGGTAAGTCATAATGATATGGAAGCATCCTCAGGCACTGTAGATTAAGGATTCCTCAAATCATGACCCCTTGGGGTACGTTGGGACCACGATGGGCACTCAAAGTTTAACGTAGGAATATTTAGAAAAAAATGTCCTCGAGAAGAGTAAAGCAATGGTTAGTCATATTTATATGGAAGCATCTTCAGGTAGTGCAAATTCACGTTCATTCGAATAATCCCCCGGGAGTAGGGTGCATGGAACCACAACATGTGATTTTTACACAGGAATATGTTTAAGGAAAGAATAGCAGCGCTATAGTGACTCAGGTATACATTGTGGCCCATGGGCCTCTTGTTTTTGTTCACTTTAATTTTTTTAGGGGTGGGGTGTTGTTTTTAGTAGATTTGTGCTATTGTAATTGGGGGGGGGGGGGGTAAGAGAGAGAGAGAGTTAAGTATCATCTTATTCAAATAGGTGATTTTAATAATTCAAATTCATTGATGATCGTTTTACATTATAGGGATGTAAGAAACCTTTTTCTCCTCTTCTTTCGCCTTTAGTGTGGCAGCTAAAAGTGTGCTCAAGCGGTGTTTCCCAAATGGTTCCTCAACTCTACGCGTTCCATCGCCATGAGCATAAAGCTGGTTGCCATGGACGGTCCCTCGGCGACCTTGACCTTTGATATCCATGGTCAGTCTAGCATCAACTTCGGATATTCTTCTACCTCTTAATCTTTCACTTTAATGAAAATTTAGAAATTTAACTGTGATAATGTTAGATTAAGATGCATTTATATTGAACTAGAAGGCATAACAAATATATGGAAAATATGCTGGGAATATAGGAGTTCGCCAGTGCTTGTGTGTATTATTTGTGCGTGAATTACTGATGAAGTTGCGGATAGCATAATATAGCAAATATTTAAACATGCAATTTGATTTTTTTTCCAGATCATCTGTTAGAAAAAAAATAAGTAGGAACCAGATGTAATTCCTGAATTCATCAGTATGTTCTATCTGGCTTTTTGTATGTCGTATTGCTGGATAGGAAATGGCTAAGAGAGATGGCGCTCTTTATTATTTCATACTACCTGGGGATAAAAGCTTTCTAATTTGGGTAACGAGTTTGGTTGAGAGTAATATCGATACCATGAAAAGGGCAACATTTGACCGTTTGATATCATCCGAAAACATAGGTAATCAAAGTCAAAGATTACATAGCTCACCTCGACGATTGATATGTACAAGTAAGGCAAAGTCTCACATCAAACAAATGTTCTAGTAGTGTGCATCCCTTGATTCAACATCTATACAAGTCCAGGTATAAGATCTATACATATTTGAAAATGTTCCTGACCCAAAACCTTTAACTGTTTAATCACACTCTGCAAATGTTGGTGAGATTCAGTTTCCAAAGCATAACTGGCTGTGTGCATACCTAGTAACATGCATCATTAATACAAGTTCAGTCACTACGATAGGGCTTATAGTTACAAAGTACTTGGGAATGGACCAGCTCTAAAACATTAACCTCTTCATTCAAAATGTAGGTCAGATCCAGCATCCGAAGCAAGTAATTTGGTTCAGCTAAAGCTTAAAAGTTACTTGGGAATGAACTCGCTTTCATAAATGAAGGTTAGATCCAGCATCCAAAACAGATCTGGTAGTGTGCATTCCTAGATGCATCCACTTTGCCAGTTTGGCACAGGTAGGGCTTACAGTGACTTGTAAATGAAACTGCTCTGAAAACTTTAACTTGTTCATCCATCCAAAAAATTTAAGTCAGATCCAGCATCCAAAGCAAATCTGGAAGTGAGCATCCCTTGACGCAACATCCATGCTACTTTGGTCCAGGTTGGGCTTCCAGGTATTTTGGAATGAAATTACTAAAAAAAAAACTTAACCTCTTCACTCATCCCAAAAATATAGGTAAGATTCAATTCCAAAACTGGTAGTATAAAGATTGCATTAAGTATATTTTAGGGTGATCATGATATATAAACGTAAATCAATCTATGTTGTCTATTATGGCCAAAACCAGGCGCAAGACATGTGGAAAAAAAGATAAGAAATGTAGAGGACGTTTCCGAAATATTCGTTTTTGTCGGTTTTTCAAACAGGAAATAATTTTTTTAAAACAGAAAATGTTTTACGAAACGTCCTACTGTTTTGGGAAGTCGAACAACTAAGCGGAAACCCGCAGTTTAAGGTCATACAAGTACTTAGTACACATATACAACAGGCCATGGGTTTCCGCCGATCTGCATGTAATGCCAGAAAATCTGCAAGCGAAATATCGTATAAAAGCAGGTTTTTCTCCATAGTGCATGAGTTACCTGAGTAACTGGGCCGTGTCTCTGTTTGAAAAAAATAATTACAAGTTGAACAATACATTTATGTATTCTTTCACGTAAATATGATTTGAATGCTGTTATAGAACTGTCTTTGAATCCCATTGAAAGAGTCACTGTAGTACATTTCAAATCTGAAGTTGGTAAAAAATTTAATTTTAATACCTTAGAGACTTTACATGTACATTCAAATACTAGTAGATACAACAATACTTGGACTCCGTTTACTTTCAGTTTTCAATACGTTCTGAATTTAAGGTCAAATGTCCCTCTGATAAGAGAGATAACTTCAGAAAAATATAATTCAAAAATATCCGAAAATTCATGCCTTCAGGTGACACTTATTTAGCCAGGTATTTGCTCAGTTATGATATTCACAACTGTTGACAGAATGGACTCAAACATTAAATTGTATTTCCTTTTTGCAAATATTTTGTCGATTACTTATATGTATACTTTTTGACTAAAACAATTGGATCATTTTTTTTTTTTTACCTATTTACAAATTAAAATATTTCCATCTTTTTACACAAAATTTAATAACTAGCATATTTTACCATGTATCATTTAGTATTTTTATCATTATCGTATATTTTTCTCTATAAAAAGAAAAAAAAATTAAGAGAGATAACTCTTGCTCATGGACGCACATTTTCGTTTACAAGCAAAGACAACAATGTGATATTCTGACTCAAAAAGCCATTATGTTTTCTAATATTAATTTACTATGTAGATTATATTTATATCTATATCTATATCTCATATTTGTGATTTTTTCTATAATGATACATTTCTGTTCTTTCTATTCATTATGTCAAATTTTCTTCATATCATGGTTAGATATAAAATTAATTTCTGAAAAAGTAAGCTTCTCTTCATGCTCCAAACTTTTTTTTCCATTTGAATCGCAATACTTTTGTTGCTGGTGAAAATCAAATTGGGATTTTTTAATTCTTATTTATTTATTTATTTTCATTTTCTATTTTTTAAAAAAAATTTAAAACAGAGGGTCATTAGACCTTAATAACCTTTCCAGCCATTAGTAAGCAAAACCTTCTAGAAAATTTGGCTACGGTCATTACTAGCATCCAGCAACTGTAAGTGAATCTGTTTCTTTCATTTCAGAATTCTTACCTAAATGCTGCTACTTTGGCAACATTCTTGAACTTGCTGATATGGCTTCTTTGACCGATTAATCCAGATTGTTGGAGACTCTGTGCTTCCAGCACATCCCCCTCGGAGAACCTCTTGGGACCGGAAGTGGCCTGGAATCTTGCACGGTTGGCTGAAGAAGACAATATTCCATACTTATTATAGAACACAGCCGTGACATTGCCATGTTTCTGAAGTGAGACCACTGCCATAATAGATTTAGTTCGTAAACTTTTGCCGCAAGACACCACATCTAGGAGGTAGATCTTTTCATCGCTGTATCGCCTGTCTTTTAGCATTCTGTTCAATTGGCGATCGTGTTCGATAAGCGAACTTTGATGAGTTGTTGGAACGTGATGGCTTTGAGGAGTTTCTTTTAGAACATCACTCGGTCTGCGTTTGGTATGGTATATTTCACTATGCCGGCGACCATCGGACTTCTTGTTTAGCGGATCCGCGTTGGATAAGAATTCGCTATGTCTCCGATTTGAGGTCTGCGCTCCATGTTTTGTTCCTGAAGTTGATGTGTTCGAAAAAACCATACGGGTTTTATTCTGTAGCAAATCAAACGTTACTTTACTCACACGACGATTCTCATCAGAATTCATATTGCTCTGAATCTCTTAACAAAATTTAACAAACTCAGAATCCAAAATATGACACACTTTATCACAATGAGTGTCAGTATGTAACTGGTTCTTTAAAATGAAATTTTATATATAATCCCAGGATGTATAATTTAAAACGCAACTTTTCAACACTTCAACCTAATTGAAATCCAATTATAAAGTAACCTCAACCACTTCAAATGTTTACTTTATGACAGCATCGTGCGTCCATCAAGATTTATAGTCTCTTCGGCTCTCGTAAATATGCATGTACATGTACTTATATACCCGTCAAACTCCCGAGCAAACTATGACGAGAGAACATAACAAATCAGAAAATACGAACTTGGCAATATAGATTCTATTCTAGATCCAGAGAGGGATACAAATCAATTCTGTACAAACGTAATAAGCTCATTAATCTGTCAAAATAATATTTTTGTTATGTGTATTAAAGTAAAAGTTGCTGTTTTTTAAAAAGATTCTTTTTCCATTTAGATCAATAAGCTGATATTTTTGATACCCCACTAAGACCTTTATAATTTCAGTTAATTTAAGTCCTGTCTGACAAGGTTTGTTGAAGTAAAATAAAATCAGACAATTGAATTACAAGATTTTAAATGCGTTCAATGTCAAGCTATTTGCATCATTTATTATAAACTTTTGAATTGACGCATTTAAAAAAAAAGAACTTTTACCTCATCGATCACAAAAAAAAAAATTACCAACTGAATCGTAAAAGTAAAATTATAAACCTATAAAAATAAACATTAAAAACGCACTTTAGCAGTGAAACAAGAAATCACTGATGACAATGCATTTATGTTGGAATATGTCATACACAGCATCCCAAATAACTCTCTCTCTCAAAATTTCTATGCTTTTACTTATAAATTTCATGCCTTTTCTGGTTAAGGCCAAAGTTAGTAAACAAGTACCTGTCGTCGCTATAAACTTTAACATCAAGCACTATAAACTCAGTACGTCTTAAGTTTGTGTCATTTTAAATATTTACTCAAACGATTTCTTCGGGGCAGTCAACAGCGATAGACATTTCTTGTTGAACTCTTATTTTGATTACTTTACAAGAGTATACATCTCGACAAAATTTCTTCTCAACGGGCTATATTAAAATTTGCTCCTGTGTTATGTTTAGCAATTAAAAAAATATATAAACATATTAAAAAAAAATGACGTTGTTATACTTTAATTTTGTATCGATAAATTAATTTATTTAGTCACGCAATATTTATGGCAACTTGAATAGAAAAATTATATAGAATTTAATCTCAAGAAATTTGAGTTTAAATATACAATCTGAATTATTTAATATTATTGGAGACTTATTCAAATGTCATTTGGTCATATTCATATTGAATTGTAATAATTAGTGCTTGTTGAAGGTCGATCGTTCTGAACGAATCCTTTTCTAGAGATTCTGTCTTCATGCACATGCATAAAACGTCAGTTTCTTATAATAAATCAATTATTCAAACTACATTTGAAACATCTTAAAAACACGCATATTTTTTTTTAATAAAGCACTCTTCATAAATTGCAAGAAATAGAAATACATGCGCATTTAATATACATGTATATCCATTTATTTATGAACATTTTTATCATTAGCGTTTTCCGTGATTTCTCTCATTTTTATCATTATCTAAACATCATCAATTCCATCAATTCACACTTTTAAAAAATTATCAACTCCAGTAACCCGGGCCTTTAAAAAAAAAAAATAAACCAAGGGGATGTGAAAAGTTAAGAGGGAATTCATTTTTTCCTTTCAATTTAAGTCTAAAAGATGAATTTATCCGAAACTTAAAATGAGAAGCAAAAAAAAAAATAAATAAAAAAATAAAAAAAAAAAAATAGTTACATTGCCTCAGCGGAAGCACTTTCCATTTCCTCCATTTGTTCAGAAATCCGTCATTTGAAATATTAGTCATCTCTAGATTTCTCGGTCTTTCTGCCTTTCAGGGACTACAGTGTCCATTATAACTGAGGAACATTGTTAGACACAGCTTAGCTATAAAACTCGCCCAAAAATGTTCAAGAGGACTTCAAATTTCTTTCATAGTATCAATTGCTCTTCGACTAATTATAAAAATTATTAGAAGTAGGAAAAAAATCAATGGCTTATTCGTAAAAAGACTTTTTAAAGCACAATAAATATTGACAAAAGATTTTAATACTTTGTCTAAAGAAAGCAATTGATAATGGTAGTGAATTCCTGTTCGTTTTTCTTTCCTTTTCATTCTTTGTGCCTTTATTAGAACTTGTTGGAAATTTAAACCTCAGAATAGAAAAAATCTGCTAATACACTGTAATTAGTGCGAAGCAAGGATCAGTCAGTTATGTTGTCAAACTTTAAATCGTCTTCATATATCTACAAAGGTCAAAGTTCGGATTTTCACGTCAGATTTAACAAAGAAAAGACAGAATAATTAAATTTAATTCTCTTTACAAGACAAATTAGGGATATTTTCTACTTTTATCAAGTATAGATCGTTCTAATTCTAAGGTTAAATACAAGTAGATGACATCAAACATCTTATATTTGGAAGTTTTTATCTTGACGTTTGAATTGAAATGTCAAAATGGGTAGAAAAAAATCTAAAAGTTGACGTTCTGTGGTGGTATTTAGTGCTGTCAACTCATTAAAAATGAAAAAGCACAAGAATATATGCCTATTTATCTAGCTTTTATTTGCATGTTGGTTTGTAAAACATGTTTTAACATATCATATTTTTATGTAAATACATGTACTAAACTTTAAGAGAACTATTTTTGCGAATGGAGAAATAACACGTACACTGCATGTGGATACTTACACTTTACTTTGAAGGGAGGGGGGGGGGGTGAATCGTTAACTGCTCACGTCGTTTTGCTTGATATATTTATTTATAGGGATTTCTACTTATATTTTTTGTGTTATGTACAATTAACATAAGTAGCTCATTGAAATAATTGATAATTATTGTGATCCTTATTTTTTAATGATTTATTATTCAAAATTAAACTGAGACCCATATATTATGTAAAAATGTTTGCCAAGTTTTCCATGAAGGAAAAAGGGGGTAAAATTTTTTTAATACTTCTGCCTAATCCTCTCTGTAAAAAAAAAAGAGAACTGCTAATATTATTTCAGTCCATATGAGACTCAAAATTTAAAAAAAAAATAAATATAAATTGGAATTACTAAATTTTTCAGAGATTAAACATGAAAGTAAACTCACTCCAAAACATTTAAGTAATCGAATAGAGGGAATATTTGAAAATTTATAAATTTGAATCTGAACCCCACTCGACGCAAAAACATAAATCAGAATTCGGTTCCATTAGCCACATGCTCATATTGGTTTTCGTGTTTTGTTTCGAAGCTAAAACTTTTTTATCCATTTACACAAAACTTCACAGCATTAATTCCTTGTCAGATATATCCCCCGTATCGGGGAAGCTCTTGATGGGAGGGGATCAGATATTTTAGCCTGCTCCCCTTCTATCGATAACAGGAATCAATGTCTTGTCTTTACGTGGATTAAAGGCTTTTTAACGAGATGACAGCTTCAACAGAGATTTGTCAAAAGAACAAATTCACTATTTAACTATATGCACAGCGGGAAATATGTGGAAGCTTTTCCTTCCCTTGCAGATTTCATAAATCAATATTTGAAGAATCAATGAATATTTTTTTTTTAATTTTAAAATTTGGAATATACGAGGTCTTGCTGTTATAATTTAAAAACAAATATTCTGTATATTTTTTAACATTTTTTGTAAAAAAAAAAAAAAATAAATAAAAATCTTTATCCTCAGATATCTTTACCTTCAAATTCCTCTAACGTACTACATGGGCTAGATCCTCTTGAATGCACATGCTCATAGAAATGATGCTTGAATTGTACCCTTTTCCCACTACCCATGCTTTTCCGTTTGTAAGTCACAGTTTTGTCTGTTATTCGAGTTCCGCTGTGAGTGTCCGGCCTTGGGGCTGGGGTCCTGCGAGGGAGGGACGAGCTGCCCTCCCGTCGAACTTTATCAGAAGATGGTCTTAGTAGGGACACATATGCGGGAACGTTGGTATTACTATGGACGCGAATTCGTTCATTTCGACTGTCTTTTCCTAATGGGGTCTTGACTGAGGAACGTCTTTTGCCAGAGTGACATGAAACATCCGTCAGTTTGGGAAAAATATCGTTATATTTTACTTCCGTCACTGAAGTCATTTCAATACGAATACTTCGCTGTTTTCCAAAAAAATTATATTTCTGGCAATATTCACGTAAAATTCCACGTTAAATAAAAGTTTACTTATCCCATAATTTGCGAGTTAAGATGGGATTTGGAATAAGTGCTTCTTCAAGAGCAGCGTTACCGGCTAGGTATCAAACACTATCTCTGTACGTGTGGTCGTTAGGTAATTCTATTCAAACACAAATTGACTACTTGTACAAGATTTGATTTCGAGTGAAACAATGTAACAACAATCCGGCCCACTTTTTAAAATTCTTTCTACTGTCTTAGCGAACAATGTTTTATGAATATATCACCTGAAATCTAAAATATTATTCTACCAGTTTAAGCTCATTCACGCTTTATTTCTCCTTTTCAAGAGTTGAAGATCGCTATCAAAATAATTACAATAATGAATAGACTATCTGTTTTGTTCAATTAGAAATCGGATTTGATTATATAGTTTAAATTTCATTTTATTTAAATGATATATATTTTCATTCAGAATATATAGTAAATATTTACGCTCAATTATATTGGATTGGACAACAGGATAAGCTCAACTGAGTCCTCTCTCACCGCATCAGATGCCGAAAGGGTGACGACCCTCACAGAGAACGACGCGAATTTTGTTGGCTAAACCTTTCTTATTTTTCTTACTATATATTTAAGAATTCAAAGTGTTAATAATAACCAAACATTCAACATATCAAACAGAAGGACCCTTCACTAACCTAAAAATACTATAACCGTAGTTGATT